TGGTCATTCAAACCTGCCATTTAAACACGTCTTTTTTTGGTGTTGTCTTGCCTTTCTTCCTTTCCACTAATCATAGCTGATATGCTTTTAGATGCCCTGGCTTCTGAGCTGCATGCTGCTGAAAGCAAGGGTATTTCAGAAGCTTCCCAGGAGTTCCTCCACAAATAGACCATAAACAATGGACAAGCTTCCCTGACAGGCATAGCATTCTCCAATCTGCATCTTCCCACAGTCACTATATGGCACATGCTCAGGTCACTTGAGGCAGTTGCCCAGGACCAGCAAACCTGGCAAGCGCCACATCCCTTGGAGTGTCATGTTTAGGAATGTTCTCTGCAATTTGCAGATGAGGCGTTGGACATGCAACATGCTCCCAGTAGATAGCACAGGGTCTTTCGAAACCTTCTGTTGTTGTTTAGTCGTTTAGTCGTGTCCGACTCTTTGTGACCTCATGGACCAGAGTACGCCAGGCACTCCTGTCTTCCACTGCCTCCCGTAGTTTGGTCAAACTCATGCTGCTAGCTTCGAGAACACTATCCAACCATCTCGTCCTTTGTCGTCCCCTTCTCCTTGTGCCCTCAATCTTTCCCAACATCAGGGTCTTTTCCTGGGAGTCTTCTCTTCTCATGAGGTGACCAAAGTATTGGAGCCTCAGCTTCACGATCTGTCCTTCCAGTGAGCACTCAGGGCTGATTTCCTTCAGAATGGATCGGTTTGATCTTCTTGCAGTCCATGGGACTCTCAAGAGTCTCCTCCAGCACCATAATTCAAAAGCATCAATTCTTCAGCGATCAGCCTTCTTTATGGTCCAGCTCTCACTTCCATACATCGAAACCTTCTAAGCCACACTAAAAAAAGGAAAAAAAAGTTTAAAACTGAAGTAAAGAGAAAACTGCCTGTGTTTGGGCTGAACTCTCATATTTTATCTCTGATCTAAAGTCCGGTGCCAGGGTAACTCTTGCTAAATAACAATAGACCCAAAAAGTTCTGTTGGGTGGAAGCTGCAACTGAGGGTCTCCAACCCTACTTGTTTTGCAGTACAGTGGTACCTCTGGTTAAGAACTTAATTCGTTCCGGAGGTCCGTTCTTAACCTGAAACCTGGTTCTTAACCTGAGGTACCACTTTAGCTAATGGGGCCTCCCGCTGCCACCACCACGCAATTTCTGTTCTCATCCTGAAGCAAAGTTCTTAACCCGAGGTACTATTTCTGGGTTAGCGGAGTCTGTAACCTGAAGCGTCTGTAACCAGAGGTACCACTGTATTGGCATTCTGTGCTGAGAGGAAAACAAGCTGGAGGAACACAGCGGACAGATTTTTTTAAAAAAAAAATTTAGCTGACTGTAGTTAGGTTGCCATCTGCTGGAGAATATGCCACCTGTCTTTGCCCCGTAGGGTGATGCACACAAACAGAAAGCAAGAAGCCATTCGTGTCCTCCCAGTACTGTATTCAGTTTCAAGTGACAACTTTCCTAGGCTCTGTTTTTCCTTTCATTTAATCTTGTGTCTGGCTTCAATTTACTTGTTTGTTAATTGTTTCAATCGCGGCGCTTTGTTCAGGTGATGTCTCCTTTGTGGTCGTACAAATTAGATAATTGCAGCAATTGGCAGCATTTTCCCTGGCACAGGATTTCAGCTCATGGGTAAAATATGAAGTTGCAACAGTTTAGGTCTATAATGCTGGCACATTGAGCTTTCAGTAAGACCCACAAGCTAGTTCCGTAGGACTGCTTGGATGGTTAATTGATTCAGTCCCAGAGACTTCAGGGGCTATTCAGACAGGAAATGTGACAGTCCTGGTTTCCATTTTTGCATTTATTCAGCCCAAATGAGAAGAAAATGTTCTTCCTAAGTTTTTAAAAAATGCATGGTGAGTGAGAATAGTATATCAATGTGATTTGCTCTTTGAAAGTAGGGAGTACTTACTGATTTTTCATATACCTATCAAATGCCTTTTTAAAAAAAAAAATGTATACTGAAATAATTGCTTGCTGATTGTCTCACAAAATGGTGTTATATTCGTTCCTGACAAAAGAATTTAGGGCGGTGTGCTATGTCCTGGCTCCTTTTCAAAGGGAACTTGATCTTCTGGTTTTGATTGTGCTAATATAAAATAAAGGGTAAATCGTTTTTGAAAAGCAAATTATCTCCAGAGCAACCATCGGTACAAACTGCTCCTTTGAAATATCTCAGAAAATTTAAATTATTACTCAAAGCTCGGGACTCTAACATGCTTCCGGGATTTACTGTCAGCTGGAAGAAACCAGTATACCAAAATGCACGAGAGTACTGCCTACTTCAGGTTTACAAGAACTAGTCCCTGGTTATAGCCACATCCACACCATATATTTAAAGCACATTTAAAGCACATGGCTTCCTCCAAAGAATCCTGGGAACCGTAGTTTGCCCCTCACAGAGCTGCAAAGCCTGGTACCCTTTAACTACAGTTCCCAAGATTCTTTAAATGTGGGTTGTGGGTGTTACCTGTGGCCACAACTCATCTCCAGCTCCTTCCTTCTGCTCCTTTTCTCCTCTCCAGCTCATCTCCCAAAGTGCCCTGATTCTTCTTCTTCCTGTTGCATTACACCATCTCCAGGCACTCAGGGGGAAGGGGTGAGATGAGAAGCACACAAAAAATGGAAACCCAAACAGGCTGATCCTAATGGGCAACAGAGCCAGGGTGGTGAACAACTGAAGCCCAGGTTGCATTTGAATGACCAAAAGCAGTAAATCTGGGGTCAGCACTGTGTAGGAAAAGAGGTTTCAGAAGGTGCACCTCCATACATTATAGTGCAGGGCAACCAGTGACAGAACTCAGCCACCAAAACTTTGCCTCCTGCGCAGGGATTAAAAATTACAAGACACCCCGTTGTATCTAATACAATCTAATCTCTCTTTCTCTCATGTGTGTGGAAAAAGAAAGGTGAAAGGGAGAACGTTATACAAAGCAAGGTGAACGTTTTTCTTTATATCAGCATGCACAAAGCATAGCCAATGACCTGCACATCTAATCTTCTTAGAACCACACAATACTATACACTCACCAAAGAAAAGTGGTTCTTTTAAAAGGGGGAGCATAGATGAGCAATGCTTGGTGTACTGGTGAAACAAATCACCTGTCCAAGGTGGCTTCTAGAAAGACAAGTCTGGTCTTGTGTCTGGATGGTTCAGCAAGAAGTTCTAGCATTGCCCCTAATAGGAAAGGCTCTATTTCAGGCAGAAAAATGCCTTGGGCTGCCCCTGGTTGAGTCTGGCTATACTATGGGAACAGAGGGTGCTGCCTTATGAGTAAGTTAGACCCATGGTCCATCCAAAAAAGGTAAAGGGACCCCTGACCATTAGGTCAAGTTGTGGCCAACTCTGGGGTTGTGGCGGTCATCTCGCTTTATTGGCCGAGGGAGCCAGCGTACAGCTTCCGGGTCATGTGGCCAGCATGACTAAGCCACTTCTGGCAAACCAGAGCAGCGCACGGAAATGCTGTTTACCTTCCCGCCGGAGCGGTACCTATTTATCTACTTGCACTTTGAGGTGCTTTCGGACTGCTAGGTTGGCAGGAGCAGGGACCGAGCAACAACCGCCGACCTTCTGATTGGCAAGTCCTAGGCTCTGTGGTTTAACCCACAGCGCCACCCGCGTCCCTGTGGTCCATCTAGTTTGGTACTATTGAGTGGCAGTGGCTCTCCAGGGTTTTAGAGAGGGGACAATCCCAGCCCTACCTAGGGATACCAGGGATTGAACCTGAGGCTTTCTGTGTGGAAAGCACCAGTTCTACCATTGAGCTACAGCCCTTCCTAATCCGCATTGAGTGAAGCTGCCCTGATGTGCAAAAGCTTTGAAAAGAGACTGGAAGCAGATGCTGTCCTTGGGAAAGAGCTGGAGACTGGAGTGCAGATGCTTTTGCGTTTCCAGCCATCAAGCTAAATTGTCCCTCTCTATGTGGCTCAATAAGCAGAGCAAATAATGCATGTCTTAAAAAAAGAAATACACTGAGACCGTAGGAAGGAAAATACTAAATCTTTCATTTTGCTCAGTTGGTTAAAATGTTTGCTTAGCAGCAAGGAGAGAATGCAAGAGAGAACAGGGAGAGGAGTGGGGGGGGAGGGAGAGGATCTTGGCATGTTTCCTTTTGCCTCCAGATGCCATCCGCCTAAGATGATCCACCTGGTCAGATGCAGGGAGGGAGGAGTGAATGAAAGAAAGAGCCGAGTAGTCAGCTTCAAGGCAGAGGCAGGGGCTCTGGCGATGGGATTGCAGCTCAGAGACGGAGAAGATAGATGAAGAAAGGATGATGAATGCTCCTTTATTAGGAGCCTCTTGAAAAATCATTTTCCTATTCTTCATGAGTGATTCATTGTTTTCCTTCTTGATTCCCGGGCCATCTTAATAAGCTTTTGCTGTGTAATAAAAGGAAATAATGCTTGAAAATGCTTTTAATAAATCATAGCTGACACAGAATCCATGGGAAAGTGGCTTGTTTTCCCCCTACTGCTCCAAAAAGAGTGAGCAAGAGAGCGATTATAAGTTTGATGGGATCCTTGCAGCAACTACTTGTATCTTCCTCTGGGAACAAGTTGGCTGCTCTGCCTGAGGCTTCTTGATGAAACACATCTAGAGTTTGGATCTTCTTGAACTTAACAGCCATCCTCCATTTTTGTGATGGCCTTACATTTTTCCTCCAAAGCTGGCCTGAAAAGCAGCTTGTAGTTGTGGCAAGCAGAGTAACAAAGCCAATTCCTTTGCCCCATATCATGACCATAGCTGTCAACTTTTCCCTTTTCTTGCAAGGAATCCTATTCAGAATAAGGGAATTTCCCTTTAAAAAAGGGAAAAGTTGACAGCTATGATCATGACCAGTGTGCCAAACATACAACAAGATAAGCTGAAGACCTCTGTTTCATTCCTACTTATTTCATCTGAAGTCATATTGCTTATCATCAGGTAGGGATGGACAAATCACAATATTCTACTTTCTGTCCATTTTGAATGTGCTTATTTAGAAAGGGCTGTAGCTCAGTGGCAAAGCACTTGTTTTGTGTGCAGAAGGTCTTTGGTTCAATCCCTGACATCTCCAGGTACAGAAGGGAAGTCCCCTGTCTGAAACCCTGGAGAGCAGATGCCAGTTTGCGTAGATAATACTGAGAAAGACGGACTAGTGGTCAGACTCAACACAAGGTGCCCACCATTTGTAATTTCAAGTCGTTTTCACTCCCACAAGTTTTCCCAGCTGGATGAATAGGTCTCTGCGATGTGCTGTATGCATGCGCATCTATAGTGAGGGATGAGAAAGCAGACAGACAGGCACCCACTCAGCAGTGGTTTTGCTCTCTAGGGCAATACTGGCATAGCAGAGTCTGCCCTAGCCCCTGTTGTTCTAAGAATGGTGCCCTGTTAGAGAGAGAAGCACCCTCTTTCTCCATCTATCAGATAAATAAAAATCTCTTCACGGTGGTTTGGGTGAAACAGCACAACCTGTTGTTACAAAACAATGTTTTTTAAAATAAAAACTTGTTTAGGAGTGCAAGCCAAATTATTTAGCGGCTTTGCAGGCCATCCAAAATTGCTGGGGGGGGGGAGAGAGAGGGGAGCAAACAGGCACAGTCCATGGCTTGTTCCTCCTTATTTTATGTTGTGAAGGTTACAATCCTATGCAGGTTTTCATGGATGCAAGCCGCAACTAAATGTTACTCAGGGTGGACTCATTGAAATTAACAAGCATGACTGAATTAGGTCCATTCCTTTTTAAGACTGAATAAAACTTGGTAGAACCTCACTAATGGAAAGCTGAACTGGGATATTACGCACTTTGACTTCAGGGGTTGGGGGGCATTTGGGTTGACCCTGCCTCCTCATTAACTGAAGGGTAACTTCACACATACACTGTACATATGGGGTGTCTCTCAACAGTGAACAAAAGCCCTTGCTGTGTGTGCACTGGAAAGGGTGTAACTCCATATACGCTAATGCTTGCCTTGACATTCCTGCACCTAAAATGCGATATCAGAATGGCTCCCACCCTGCTTATGTGTTAACAGACACACATAGATGATGGCTAGAGGTTAAAAAAAAAAAGATAGTGCCCACTCTCAAGCAATTGCCTATTTTGTTCTTTTTACCGGAATATATATACTTGCATAAGCTGGTGCCATTTAATTTGTCATTTGTGAATGATGGTACATACATAGGGTACCTAAGGTGCTAAGTACAATTCTGCTTGCTGTAACACTAAAATGTAACTGAGCGATGGTATCCTTTCCATCCATTGAGAGATGAATGAATAGGATTGTGTGGTTAGTTATCAGACACTGCCATCTTTTGAATTGCTTCAACCTTGCTAAACTAAAAGGATGAGCAAAATACAGAAGGTAAATTACTCCCCACTCCTGACATTCATTTTACCACTCAGATTCTCAGGGCTATCTGCTTGCCCAAACAAGGCATCATTTAGCTTAGGGAGCAGATGTACTATGCTAGAGGAGTATGAATGGAGCGGAGAAAGAGAAAAGAAAATTACAAATTGAAAGTCATTAAAAAGTGCAAAGGGAGATGCATATACAGGATAGGTGACACCAGCTTGACAGAAGTACATGTTCTTCAGAAGATCAAGGTGTTTTAGCAGACCATTAACTAGGCACAATTCAGCAGTGCAATGCAGCAGTGAATGTGATTGGCTGCATCAACAGGAATCCAGTTTTCAGATTGAAAGAAGTAGAGCACCAAATCTGTTGTTTGGGCAGACATCACCAGTAGTCCAGTTCTGGGGGCCTTAGATATTGACAAACTGGACCTTGACATGTCCAGACAAGGAAAACAAAGATGGTGAAGAACCTGGAGATCAAGTCTTACAAGAAAGGGTTGAGAAAATAGGTAATTGAGAGGTCTGATTGCTATGCGACAAATATTTGTCACATTGATGATAGACCAAGTTTATTTTCTGTTGCAAGGAGTTAGAAGCTGAATTAATTGGTTCAAATTTCAAGAAAAAAATATTTAGACCAGTGGTTCCTAAACTCCACCCTCCTCCAGAACACCTGAAAATTGCTGGCAGTCTTCATGAACCACTTAATAATGTTTCTGCCTGTTGTAGCAACTGTGCTGTTCTGTGCTAGATGCAGTATGGTTCATGGTGTTTTTATTGCTTCTTTTATTTCTTACATTGAATTTAATTGCATTACAGTGTGCATTCCACAGAATTCAAATTGAAACACAATGAAATACAACCTTTAAAAAAGCAATAAAATTAAAAAATCAATATACATGTTTAATAGAGATATGCCACAGGTCACCTGAATAAATTTTGCAAGCTACTGGTAGTCCACAAACTACAATTTGGGAATCCTTGATTTAGACTAAACATTAGAAGAACTTTCTGATGGTTTGAGCTCTTTGACAGTGGAACACTCTGCCTTAAAAAATGGTAGACTCTATGCGTCTGCACTGACCACAAGATTTGGGTTTGACTCCAATTTGGTACTTCAGCCTGATTCAATCTGAGACAGCTTCACAACTGCCCTATGTGGTCAGAAAAATGGTCCAGTGAGTTTTGTTTTGGGTACCTTTATAATTTTAACTAAAGAGAGAAGAAAAGAAACTGCTTGTGGCTTTATTTTTTGGCAGAATTGGATAAAATTTGTTGACATGTAGCTCCTGTGGGGGGATGAGTCCTGCCAAATTTCAGAAGGCTAACTGCAGCAGTGTTCCTGAAAGGGAAGCTTTTACCATTTGGGGATGGTTTAAAGGGATTCATTTAATCTGCATTATTTTGTGAGCCGGGTGCTTCAGAGAAGTCCTGCTTTGACTCTGAGCAGCCTCAAATCTGTCCCAAATTGCCCTCTTCAGTTCAGGATCTGTCCAAATATGCTGTACACCCTTTCATGACTCCTTTGCTAGAGGTTTTTAAGTACAGCATTTAAATAGAGATCCTGTAATAGTAGATTTCCTACACTGGCTGTGGCTGATCTCAATGTTCTTTGTGATGCCTTCCAACTAAGTCTGTGATTCTAATGGCCCTCCACTTATAGATCCCAACAATCAACTGCTGAGGGTCACATACCTCACCACGTTTTAAGTTCCAGAAAATCTCCCTGCTTTGTACCTTCAGTCATGCTAGCATTGGCCTTTGTTATACAGTGGTACCTCGGGTTAAGAACTTAATTCGTTCTGGAGGTCTGTTCTTAACCTGAAACTGTTCTTAACTTGAAGCACCACTTTAGCTAATGGGGCCTCCTGCTGCCGCTGCACCACGGCTGCACGATTTCTGTTCTCATCCTGAAGCAAAGTTCTTAACCTGAGGTAATATTTCTGGGTTAGCGGAGTCTGTAACCTGAAGCGTCTGTAACCCAAGGTACCAGTGTACTTGAACCCTGCTCATGCCTCCAGGATAGTTGCTTAGTGACGTCCACAGAAGAGTCTGCTTCTAAGCCCTCAATCCCTGCAAACTTTCGATTTTCTTTGTGGCGTGATTGACATTTTCATCTTCATACATGGGTACCAGCACTTCGATTAATTTCTATGATCTAAAAATGCTTCTCATTCTGACATTATGCACTGTTTACACATGGGATGACTACAGTACTCAGCTTAAAATAGCAGTAATTACACCAGCTAGGTGGAAGGTAATGGAGGAGCCTAAGATAAGCAATGGGAAAGGCACATGTAATGGAAACATTCACTTAAGTGCTGTTTGACATCTTTATTGTATAAATTGCATGTTACACCAAAATGTTTCCTGTTTTACTACTAACATAGATCTAAGATATTGTTCCGCAGGGCCAAAGCCTCCATCAGAACCTAGTTTTCTGATTTCACTTTTGCCGCAAGCCAAAAGTGATACATGTGATTTTAATTTTGCTGCATCAAAAACCGTGCCAGGATCTACCACCTGCTTAGCTGAATGCAATTTTTTACAATATAAGCACTAGACACAGACACTAAAGTCAAAATCAGGATGTCATTTTTTTCAGAGGCTGTGCTCTGTCAAAATATAATGTCCGTGTCGGGAAAGAAATAATTCATGGAGGAAAAAACCATGAAAAATCCTGCCAAAATGTTTAATCACATTTTGTGAATTAATCACGTTTGGCAGTGCTGCCGCACGGACAGCAGCAAGCTGTAATTCTACCTATAGCTGTGAGCTTAAAAGTTGGCTTGGATCTTTCAGACAAGCATCCCCCTGGAAGTTAATGAAGCCCAATGCTGTCAGTCAGAAATTGTCAGTGTGTCATAAACCACTGCTTTAAATCCCAGCCTGTGTATATGGTACCTCAGCGGCTGCTACCAATCAATCCTGGGAGCTTAGTTAACCATTTAACTAAGAGGTTTGCTGTTGGGAAAGTGGGTATTAGAAGGGCAGTTACATGGGTTTTTGTTTCAGGAGGTTGAGAGGGGAGGGTACATGTGTCCAAGGCCAAGACATTTTGCTGCCTGAGGTGGCTGGTAAATAACACATACCCCCACAGTACCTAAAGCCAGCCAATATATTTTATCATCTGAGGCAGAAAAATCTCCCTAGGAATGAACAATGCAGTAATTATGTTAATTAACTAACAATTAGCTGCTCTTTCACAGACCCAAAATCAGTTGTTTGAGGCAGATGTCTTGCTCTGCTTAGTGGGAGGACCAGGCCTATGCTTTAGTGGCTATAACCTGAGTAAGAGTTTCCATTGGGCATGTTGCTGCTTTTTAAAGATGTTTGGTAATAGGAAGTATATAGTTTGTGTGAATTAATGTGACTCTCAGGCGAGCTGATATGAGACTACCAAAGGATCCATTCTCTAATATGTTCATTTTCAAAAGGGGCTCGACTATCATGCCTCACTGTACTCCCTGCTAGGAGTACCTTCACTTGAAAGAGCCTCTCCGTGGGGTCTAAAATGGAGGCTTCATGATTTCAAAGCCCATACCTGGTGCATTTTTGTTTACTAAACAGTTATTATATTATTGCTATTATTGCAACCTAGCCTCCTAAGGATAAATGGACTTTTGTTCCTCCTCATGACCTAGTTGACTAGAAAGTCAGGCACAGAGACTATAAGATACAAGACTGCACATAAGGTCAAGGTGTTTGGAGGTGATCAGTTCCTAGTATCACCCACTTTAGATAAATTCATCTTTGGTTCACTTCTGGACACAAAATGGAGGCTGCCAGCAAAAGCCATATAACATGGACTCCAATAGCTCAGTTGGTAGAGCATGAGACTATTAATCTCAGGGTCATGGGTTTGAGCCCCATGTTGGGCAAAAGATTCCTGCATTGCAAGGAGTTGGAGTACAGGACCCTTGTGTACCCTTCCAAATCTACAATTCCATGATTCTAAGACTCCCACCAGCCCCAGTCAGCATGGCCAATGGTCAGAAAAATTGGGAGTTGCTGTTCAGCAACATCTGGAGGGCCACAGGTTGCCCCCACCTGCTCTAGACTCTAGAAATCAGGAGTGTTAAAACAAACATAATTCCATGAGCACAAGCTATCTCTATGGGCGAAATGAGAAGTGAAGAAAGTCCTCTTTCTTTGGCTCCTCCCTCATCAGTTCCTTTGCCTCCTGTGAGTGGCTTCTTATTCTAGGGTGTCTCACACATGAAGAATACTTCTGCATCCCCAGGAGGATATATTGTGTGTGGGCACGGCAGCTACAGGCCCCGTGTACTGCATTCTGTACATCTGTCAGATTGTCAGGCAGGTATATTACTAATTCAAGCAAGACAGTAGCCTGTCCATGTCATCATGGAAATGGTGCAAAATGGAGTGTGAGGGGGGATAATTAGTATTGCTTTGACAAGAGTCCTTTGGGCAATGTTGTATTTCCACTCACTTGGTGGTGTCAACCTGTCACATTAAACCCCCAAATACATCCAATATAGAAATGTCCCTGTCCTCTGGGAATCTGAGAGAAATGTTTCTCCACAAGCATGGTGACAGTTGGAAGTAAGTACTATATTTTCTTTTACCACATTCTTCTTTCCCCTCTTCCCATCCTTTGTGCTTTCTCATAGGAACAGTGCTTTTTTTCTTTAAAAATGTTTAGGGGTGCTCTCATATTCCTACTCATATTGAATTACTGCCCCTCAATGAGGCCAAACGTGATTCACAAAATGTTTAAGGGTATGTGTACCCCTGCATACCCCCAGAAAAAAGCACCGCATAGTAACAATGAGATCCTCTTGGGAAACCTCATATTACTACAAATGTACATCATGGTGTGTGTTATCCCAATAACACCATAAACAAAAACAGTAATAACTTGGATCTAGTCTTGCTCTACCACCCACAGAAAGGTCTTGGGCCCACTCAAGGCTCCCACTGGGGTAGAGGACATGGTGATTTTCCCTGGTTCCCATTCCCCCCTCCCACTATTTTGGAGGGACCCCTCAACCCTTCCAAGCAAAGCTGCAGGTGGGCATAGAGGAAGGGGAAAAGCAACCAAAATCACCTTCTTTCCCCTTCAGCCAGCAATGAAATACAGTGGTTACATATGCTTCAGGTTACATACGCTTCAGGTTACAGACTCCGCTAACCCAGAAATAGTGCTTCAGGTTAAGAACTTTGCTTCAGGATGAGAACAGAAATCGTGCTCCGGCAGCGCGGCAGCAGCAGGAGGCCCCGTTAGCTAAAGTGGTGCTTCAGGTTAAGAACAGTTTCAGGTTAAGTACAGACCTCTGGAACAAATTAAGTACTTAACCTGAGGTACCACTGTATTGCACAAGCGGAATTCCACTCATGGGATCTCTGAAACCAAGTCATTCATAATACATTCATATTTATAGCCCAAGGCATCCTGAGTTCCTGGACAGATAATAAAAATGATCATTAAGGAATCTCTTCTGAAGAAAGGAAACAGGCTAAAATGTCACTCAAACCGAATAGTTTTTAAATGCTCATCCTTCTGCTATCATAATTCTGACCTCCCAAAATGTCCTCTTTCTGTACTTTCCCACATCTTTTTTAGACAACAGTATCAGTGTGGGAACTTGTAGTCCTCTAGATTTTGCTGTACTTCACCTCCCATTACCCCTAACCATTAGCTATCCTGGGTAGGACTGATGGGAGTTGGAGTCCAGCAATACCTGGAGGGCCTACTCTACTCTATTTCATCAGTGCCTAGTCCTGGCTGTGGGGGACAAACAACAGGTAGGGAAAGGGTGAAGCATCGTCTCCCTGATGCTTCTCCACTGTGAATTCTCATCTCCCCAAGCAGCTTTGCTTTCTTACATAGAAAGGTATTAGAGCCTCCTTTACATGTGTTAGTGATGTGAAGTTTCACCTAATCATCTACCTCAACAGCTGCTTCCTCCAGGCTTCCCTGCTCTTCAGGCTAGTTTTAAGCCTTCCCATATTTCCTTCGCTTTTGACTGTTGTCCAGGGATTTCCATGCTCCAAGGAAACACTGAGGAACAGAGTATGAACCTCAACTATGACCTGATGCTACATTGCCTGGTTACAAGTACTCATCAGGGGGTGGCTAGGAGACCTGAGCAATACTTAAGTCTTTTACAGTAGGTCCCAAATCTCCTGCCTCTCATCTCCACCCATTAAAAAAAAACTTTGCCTATATGGCAGCTAGGCAGACTACAATGCACAGTGTTGGTGGGATGCCAGTCAGCCACCATCTTAATTTCCCAAAGGCATGCATGCATATAAATTAGCATATGCATTTATTTATTTTTTGCAAATCTTTGTCACAGTCCTGTGCCCTGCATGCTTTTAAATACCTAGCAACACCCCTGCCGTCTTTTTAAGATATTCTTTTCTTGTCTATAGTATTTCTTTGTCAGACGTTAAAGGGTTTTTCTAATATTTATTCTGCCCTTTTAAAACGTTAATTTTGAGTGGGCTGTGTTATGAGATATCTTAAAGGAATTAAAGGTTAATGTCCAAGTTGCTGCCGATTGTCACAGGATGCAACCAAACAGTGGACATTTTAACCATGCGAACCTCTTCACTTGGGTGCCATTCACACTGTTTTTAATACTCTCACAATCGGGATGGATTTCACAATGCAGTTTGCCGTTTCCTTTCCACCACACTGGAGACCTGCTGTGATGATGACAACAGCAGTAAAATGTAAAGGGCAGAAAGGGTCTCACACAGACAGAAGCTATTTTCCCAAATGATAGTAAGAATCGGCCTGTAAATGTTTTCTGTATGAATATGTTTAATGAGGCATGTAATGTGGAAAATAACCCTTTCTAATTCAAACCACAGTCCAAAGAAATGTGTCTATTTCATTCAAACAACCTGGCAGAAGGTACCTATTACCCTGTTCCTGTAACTAGACACAATCATAAAGATGTATGTCATTATAAGAGCCTTTATCACTGCCTTTTGTTGTTGTTTAGTCATTTAGTCGTGTCCGACTCTTCGTGACCCCATGGACCAGAGCACGCCAGACACTCCTATCTTCCACTGCCTCCCACAGTTTGGTCAAACTCATGTTGGTAGCTTCGAGAACACTGTCCAACCATCTCATCCTCTGCTGTACCTTTCTCTTTGTGCCCTTCATCTTTCCCAACATCAGGGTCTTTTCCAGGGAGTCTTCTCTTCTCATGAGGTGGCCAAAGTACTGGAGCCTCAGCTTCAGGATCTGTCCTTCCAGTGAGCACTCAGGGCTGATTTCCTTCAGAATGGATAGGTTTGATCTTCTTGCAGTCCGTGGGACTCTCAAGAGTCTCCTCCAGCACCATAATTCAAAAGCATCAATTCTTCGGCGATCAGCCTTCTTGATGGTCCAGCTCTCACTTCCATACATCACTACTGGGAAAACCATAGCTTTAACTATACGGACCTTTGTTGGCAAGGTGATGTCTCTGCTTTTTAAGATGCTGTCAGGTAGCTGGGAATCTTTCTGCATGCCGTGTGACTTCTTCCCCCTCTGTGGTGATCTCCACTATCCACATTTGCAGGATAGAGGGGAAAACATTCCTACAACTTTGGGCTGGAATGTTGTGGAGGAGAGTTCCTTAAAAAGAAAACAGCTGTGTTTGTACCTTACTGGGCAGGTGGGGGAGGGGAAACTATCAAACCAAAAGGTGCATCTTAAAATTTCTCATGTAGAGCTGCCCTGAAAATGCAAAATGTTGAAGATGTGAACATTTGTTTATATTCCACTCTTTTTAGAAAAGGATAAATGCTCACAGTTTTCTCTCTCTTACACATGCACACACTTTTTAACCACAACAACAACACCATAAGGTATGACAAAGTGTGGGACGGTGAGCCCAAGGTCACCCAGGGAACTTCATGATTGAGTGGGGATTTGAGCCTCGGACTGCGCGAGTCCTAGCCTGACAGTCTAGCCCAGAGCTTTCCAAACATTAAGTTTGTTACATACTTTTTGGACATGCATCATTTCATGACACAGTAATTCAGTTTCGCATCATTCCATGATGCAGTAATTCAGTTTTACTAGCAAACCGAAGGTTAAACTAACCGTTTCCAGCCCCAGGAGGAGCACAGGGAGCGTTCGTGCAACACACCTACAGACTGCAGCCGACACACTAGCGTGTCATGACACACAGTTTGGAAAGTTCAGTCTAACCATTATCATGCACTGGCTGCCAGCTAAATTCTGAAACCAATTTAAACGAGCCTTTTGGGGGGAAGCCAGATATTGTTCTGTGCTCTGCCTCATCTGCAGTCCTATCTCCTACTCACAAATGATAAAGCTAGGGTTCACATAGGGCTGCATTCGCACCACACATTGAAAGCACATAGCACAAAGAATTCTGGGAAATGTAGTTTTCATACCCCAGAGCTACAACTTCCAGCAACCTTAACAAACAGCAGTTCCCAGGCTTCTTTGGCAGAAGCCATGCACTTTAACTGGACAGTGTGTCCATAAGCCATATAAATTTGCTGAGTTGGTCTCCTCCGTGTCAACTAGGCCAGATTTGAAATGCATAGGCACCCTCCTTTTCCCACTGCTAAAACTGCACGATAAAGCTAATAATCAAATTAAAACTCAATTAAAACCCTATTGGCATCCTTATTACTGTTACCGCTACCAGCTCCCAAACTGCTAAATGAAGTTAATGATGAATTTGTGTAAATAAAGTCCCTGTTCATAACACAGTACATTGTGTTTGATTAGGCTGTGGCTTACTTTATGCTGTTGCCAGATGATAGTGGATTTGATTTTCCACTTCCCAGGATGACAAGTGATGAAACAGTCACTAGAGTGTTGGGATTAGACCAGAGAAATCAAGGTTCAGATCCCCACTTGGGCATAATACTCACTGCGTGA